GAATTATTTACAAGAAATACTATTATAATTGATATAGCCTGTTATTTTATATAAATAATCTATTTATTTTACCTATAAAGAAAAGGTTTAATAACATAATATGTTTTATATTAAAAGCAAAATTTATCGGCTTTTAATGTACAAATAATGAAATATTAACATTATTCACTAAAGATAATTTTGCTCTATACTTATAAATTATTTTGCAATTATAACAAATTTATTTTAGTGATATAAACAGTTTGTTGAATTAATAAATATAAATTCGAAAAAAACAATTATTAAATATCTAAGATCATGTCTATCGAGTAATGTTATCATCCTGTTGTTTGAATTTATTCTTATTCTATTATTAAAATCCTAATTTTAATATAATAATTTTAATTAAGATACTGTTTATTAAAAATAAACTATTTTAATTAAGCGATAAATTCATATTTACACAAATCTATTTTCAATAAAATTTTTCTATTTTACTAAAAGTACTAAAGTATTAAATTTTTATTATCGAATATATTTCATCGAATAATTGATTACAAATTGATAGCAAAGTTTCGTCTTTCATGCTAAATAATCTGCAACAGCGAGGATTTTTTTGCTGCAAAATCTGCTTTTTTGAAAACTCCTTTCCTCTTTTTTTCTCTTTGCCATTGTCAAAATATTGACATCGTTGTTTAAAGTAAAACGCGAAAGCACTTGATATCATCGTCTGCTCGTCTGTTTATCGAAAAACGATAGGCTGCGCTCATCGTTATTTAGATAACATAAAAATATACAATGTAAACGATGAACAGAACGACGAGTAAGAGCTAAAGGGACACCTGAAACCAGTCGAGTCACCTCCAAATTGTGCAAGTATTGTCCTTGCTGGCGGTAATTATGCTATCCCCCGTGTATGAAAATGCGCAGGCAAAAACATCATCGGTGTGCCCCTTCAGTTGCTGAATACACGAACCGTCATCTGCCGACCATAGTCTCGCTGTTCTGTCCAAAGAGGCAGTTAGAAGTTGATGGCCATTCGGATTAAAACAAACTGAAATTACATTCGTGAGAATTTTTCATATCAATGTGAAACAGGGACATGTGAAGTGTCCGTTTGCATTAAAAAAAAAATTTGCCTTTTGACACTTCCTCTCGATGGCCTTTCATGACAGCCAATTGTTGGAAATCGCTGCTTATATTCCAAATTCGCGCGGTGGTATCGCTGCTGGCTGTCGCCAGTCTTTTTCCATTGTTATCGAAAGCGAGATCCAGAACTTCGTCGTCGTGCCCCAATAAAGTAGTTATGCAAGAATTCATTCTCGTGTCCCACACTTTTGCACTTTTATCCATCGAGGACGACGCGATCAACGAACAATCGAAATTATAGAGGCAGTTGGACAACTCCGCGTGATGACCGATTAACGCGCTCGTTCGCCTAATAATTGTCCATAAAAATATAATATTATCCTTGAAAACAAATGTCACAATTAACATTATAAGAAGAACAATCGTTTCGAAATTATTACGCAAATTTATACGTGGTGCTTATATAATGGTAAGAAAAAAGATAAGAAAACTGATTATTCACTCAATATTAATCTTTGATGTAATAAATTTTATACGAGACACGTTAGATTTAAGAGATAACGTTAAAATAAAAAACGAGCATGAGATAAGGGACGGAGAACCTACGCAAAAGTTCTTGTATCCCAGATGTTCACAGTTCCGTCGAAAGAACCCGATATGATCTGATTTCCATCGTCATTGTAATGCAGCGCAATAACTTCCGCCGTATGTCCCCGTAACGTACCCAATTCCTGACCTGCCGAATTCAAATCGTGTCACTTACAATAAAAAAAAAAGGAAAAAAGGTTACCATTTTTGGTATTTTATATTTGGGACAAACATATGGCGTAGAGATTCTTTCCCAGGCTCTCGAGTTGATAAAATTAAATAAAACCGTAATGTGTGTCCGTTTATTTTAAGAAACGGATTAAAATTTAAATAATTAACACTTATCCAACAGTGATCATTCAAATGGGATTAATACTTTGTTAATGTTCTAAACTAATCTAAATTGTCATTCGAAGAGAGATATAGCTAAGAGAGCTAAGAGAAATCAACAACTTAATTACTTTCTTTAAGCTTATCTAATTAGAACTAACTGTCGAACTATCGTTACGATAACGTCAAAGTCAATAATAATAATTCGATAAGTGGTAGTAAATATAGCATACAAGAGTGAATATAGCCGTTAGCCGCTTTCGCACACATATTGTTCGCACACTGTTTAAGCACCGAGAAGTTCGACATTCGACATTCGATGTGTCGCGCTCGATCGATCGCGAGTTGATCGAATCGAAGCGCGCGTTTATTATGTGAGATAACATTGCGATATTTTCAATACCGGCTTCTATATGGAATATTTTTGACGTCGCGTCGATGGAGCCCGTTGCGAGTTTTCCTCGCGTCGGTGAAAATTTAGCCACCACCACTTCCGCATCGTGACCCCACATAGTTGCAAGGCAGTGACCCGTCTGCGAGCACCAGACCTTCGCCGTTTTGTCGAAGGACCCAGTTACGATTTGGTCTCTGAAATACAGCAAAACAAAATGGACAAAGGTCCAACTGCCGCTATCGCAATATACGCAATACGTGTATAATGTGTGTTTTATACATAAAAAAAAAGAAATTTCCAAATCCAAATGTGTAAAGCGTACGAGTGTCGGTCTTACTTTCAACCCCCCCCCCCCCCGATCGATATCGCCGCGACTAACTTTGATCATTGTGACTAACTCACGAAGTTGGATTGTTGAACGAGACTGCGTAGACCACGTTCTTATGGCCTTCGAGAGTAAAAAGCTCCGCTCCACTGTCAATGTCCCAAACTTTACAAGTTCGGTCATAGCTGCCCGTCAGGCATCTATCGAAAATCAAACGAATGGCGAACATTGCAAATATATTACAGTACATTCATATTATATATTACAAATTCGACAAATTAGCTGCCGCTATCAATGTATTCTCTCAATGTCGCAAGCTGGTTTTACATTTTTCCTCTTTTTCAGAAACTCTTTATAAATTAATCGAAATGTTGAATTTTTATGATGTTTAATAAAATGCTAGTTATTTTCACATTTTTTTAAATAATGCTCAAATTTGACTAATGATCAAGTGAATAAACTTAATATAGAGTACCTTTTACCTAGCTTATCTAGTGCTATATTAGTAACCGGTAAAAGATGTGTCTGTAAGGTTTTGTATTTGTAATAGCGCTTGGTATTTGTGTCACAAACTTTAGCCTGCAGCTTCTGCAGAGTTTCGACTAACTGGTCCATTACACTTTCGGTTATTATAGGTTCAGCCGTTTTTATGCTTTCCGCTAATGCTCTTATGTCTGTTCTGTAATGTAAATTGCATAGTTCTTTTATTTCCACAAATCTTGTCAAATGCGTATATCATTACACCTAAAGTAAAATAAAAGCAAATGTAAAATAATAATCAAAGAGCTACATTGTTACAGCGAATAATTGCGACAAATTATCGTTAGGTATCTAATTACTCGGCAGACAGATCCAGTAAATCGATCATTTTTGTTTTGATATCACCGCCTTGCGTGTATTCCAGAGCAAGACCTAAAAATACTTAAAATCAATTTTTCAGAATATTAATAATATTGTTAAGTTAATTCAATTTTATAATAAGAGCATACATATACAAAAATATAATTCATCCGATTAATTGTCTATATAAAGATAGTTTAAAAATATATTTTATATATAAAGCCTTGACTTGATGTATATATAATAAATTCCCAGAATTGATATTTTTTTTAAATAATACATTTCTTTAAAAATAGCATTTTTAAATATAATATATTTTTGCATAAAAAAATCATTTTTCATTTAATTATATTAAAATTATGTTCCTTGTATGTTAAGATATATTTTTTTATAATTCTTATACTTTTCTTAAATATGCTAATAAATTTAATTATTAAGTATTGCTTAACTATTTATGAGTAGACTACGTAAAAATTACATAATAAATTTTATATATATATATATCTAAAATTTTTAACTTTGTATTAATTGTTGCAAATTCGAATGTTTGCTATATATTGCTGCATTAACAACCGTAAAAACTTTTTCGCTCTTTCTGTTTCTCGCGAAACAGTCCAATCCAAACAATTAATTATGTAAATAAAGAAAAATATTCTTTAATTATTTCGAAGAGAAATTATATATAAGCTCGAATATTAATTAATGTATGCAACTGTACATACATTGTCTATTTACCTGGTGGAAAATAACGAAGTAAGAATTTCAGCAGCCTCATGTGGACATTCCAATTAGGATGCGTCTAGTGTTCCAGACAGGGTTGCGATTCACTACGATTTGACACGGGGAGGGGGGGGAGGATTTAATTATAAAATGTGGATCACGCGTCAGGGATTACGATGTATCACGAAGGTGCGTTTTCTCTACGCCAGTCAGCCCAGCCAAAGCTGTCAAAACCGTATTCTGTTTTGTTCGTATGTTCGCATGTGCGTGCACGCGTGCACGCGTGCGTGCGTCGTGCGTGCGTGCGTGCGTGCGTGCGTGAGTGTCAGTCAAATATGTTGTCTTGTACAAACGATCGTGTGTTACCTACGTTGGAGAATGGTTGCTAAGGCTGGCTTGATCAATTTTAAACATGAGATTGATTAGTAACTGATAATAAAATTAATGGCGAATTAAGAGGTAAAACGCAATTAAATAATTTTACCATAATAGTTTAAAAAAAAGGAAAGAATAATAAATTCTTTCTTTTTATTATTATTACATTATATATGTGTATAACTTATTATTATAATTTTTGCTATTAATAATATATATATATATATATATATATATATATATATATATATATATATATATATACTATATATATATATATATATATTA